AGGACCAGCAGAAGCTCCACTCGCCGGGTCCTCCACTCCAGCAGCAGTAGCAGCACCTCCAGCAGCACCAGCAGCACCTCCAGCACCAGGGTCCGCAACACCCGCAGTAGCTCCAACGCCCGGGTCCTTAGTACGAGCAGCACCTCCAGCAGCACCGCCAGTAGTAGCAGCACCTCCAGCACCAGGGTCCGCAGCACCCGCAGCAGCGTCAACTCCGGGGACCCCAGCACCAGCAGCTCCACTCCGGAGACTGATGTGCCGAGCGTACCACTCTCGAAGCTGTGGGGAAGAAGGCGGCTCCCGCCGTGGTGGGGAAACACGAGTACCAACTCCAGTAGCACCACGAGCCCGAGACGCACCCTGCCGGAGGCTGCAGTACCGTGAGTACCACTCACGTAGCTGCTGCGAAGAGGGAGGTCCTCCAGGCGCCTCACAGTCAACTGCAACACCACCAGGCTCAGCACCCCCAGACTCAGCACCCCCAGGCTCAGCACCCCCAGTCTCAGCACCCCCAGTCCCAGCACCCCCAGGCTCAGGACCCCCAGTCTCAGCACCCCCTGTCTCAGCACCCCCAAACTCAGCACCCCTAGGCTCCGCCCGCGCAGGCTCCGCACGCTCAGGCTCCGCACGCTCAGGCTCAGCACCTCTAGCAGGACGCGAGTCGACAGCTACCTCGGCAGGCTCAACCGGGTCTACCTGAGAGACACCTGAGGGAGCGGCACCCTGAGGGGGAAGGGGGTCTACCACTGCAGCACCTGGCGCGAGGAAGAGAGGCGGGGGAGGGAGCGGGGCAGTGCGGTAGGGGAAGAGGCGGTAGAAGGGCACGGACTCGTCAAAAGTGACGTCCTGAGAGGGGAAGACGCGGTGCGAGGCGGGGTGGTAAAACTGCCAGCCAGACGCATCCGGGACAAAGCCAAGAAAGACACAGGGAGCAGTGCGGGAGGAGAGCTTGTCCGCAGACGTGTCGCGAACAAAAGCTCGGGATCCCCAGACACGGAAGCGTGACGCATCGCCAACCTCCCCCCGACCACAGCAGTGTGGGCGAGGTCTCCGGAGCGGAGACACGGGGCCAGAGGTTGAGCTGATGCGCAGCGTACCGGACCGCAAACGGCCACAGAAAGTGGGGGGCAGCCGCGTGGACTAAGGAGGTACGAGCGACCTCCATGATCAAGCCAATGCGGCGCTCAGCAACCCCATTCTGCTGTGGAGAGGCCGGAAGCGTGAACGACTGGTGAATGCCGTGCTCTGCACAGTAGGCTGCCAAGAGGTCGGAGGAGAACTCGCCACCTTTGTCAGAGTGCAAGCGCAGGACAGGAAACTCCGAGCGAAAACGCTCTCGCAGTTGAAGACGTGCTCTGCTGATCCAAGGGATCAGAACATCAGGGACTTCACCCTTGGTGCGCAAGGGGAAGTCCGTGGTGTAGCGCGAGTAGTCGTCAACGACGATCAAGAAGTACCTCTCCTGTCCCTGACCACGGACGCGGGCTGGGCCCCACATGTCCATGTGGAGCGTCTGCAAAGGAGCAGTCGTCGGGGGGAACGAGGAGGAGTGAGGGGCAGCGCGCTGCCGCCCCTCGACACAGGGAAGACAAGGAGGAGCAAGGGAGGGTGGGAGGGGAGGGAGTACCCGAGGAAGACCAGAGACAAGATACCGGGAGTGCATGCCCCGAAGGCGCTGCACTGACGGGTGACCAAGTCGGTGGTGCCAGAGGACAGTCTTGTGCGCTAGAGAGCGACACGAGCAGGGGGCAGACAGCTGACCTGACGCAGACGCAGACGCAGACGCCGCTACCTGAGGGGACTCAGTGGTCAGTGTGTACAGGTCCGACCCCGGCTGCCGAGTGAAGGTAGCCAGGTGACGGCCCGTCCGAGCACACGTGCAGTGTGTCACACGCTCGTAGGCAGGGGTGAACTGGTGAACACCCCCATCCTGAAGCGCACAACCCGCCACCAAGTTCGTAGAGAACGAGGGGAGGTGGAGACCTGACAGTGTGCCCGACGGGACAGCAGGACAAGGAAGGACAGTGGAGGAGGTCGCAATGACCGGACCCCCAGAGGGGTCAGCGAGCGAGACAGCGACTGGTCGAGCAAGGGGCTCAAGAGCAGTGCGGTCACGAAAGAAACAGCGCGAAGCGCCTGAGTCTAGAGTGAAGGTGTGCAGTGCCTCAGTGGACTCAGTAGTACCTGGGGTGGCGGACACACAAGCACCTAGAGCAGTAGCCTCACGAGCACCTGGGGCAGCAGACACGCAAGCACCTAGGGCTGCAGCCTCACTCGTGCGGATGCCTGGGTCAGGCGGAACACACAGGTACTGGTCCTCCTCTCCACTAATAGTCAATGCATACATGGCTTTGAGAATAACATCAAAATCAAGAGCATAGATATCGATATCCTTCTTGAGGAGATCAGCCCACTGAGGGAGCTCAGGAGCGTCAAGAAACTGAGCACGCAACGCGTCATCTAGGCGAGAGAAGCAGCGCTGCGCAGTGTGCGCCCTCCCGCACGTCTGTCCCTTGCGGCGACCAGTGCGGATGACGTACGTGCAGCTAAGGCTATCCCCCCCACCCCCGTGCTGTAAGTACCACTCACGAAGCTCCTGGGAGGACTGAGGGTGCTGCGCGCTCTGGCCAGTGCCAGTGCCTCCACGACCACCACCGCCGCCTCCACCACGACCACCACCGCCTCTGCCGCCTCCACGTCCACTGCCGCCACCACCACCGCCCCCACCCCGGCCACCTCCGCCGCCGCTGCCTCCACCACCCCCACCGCTGCCACTAGCCCCTCCAGCCCCACCACCACCCCCACCGCCGCCACCACCCCCACCACCGCCTCCCCCGCCGTCACCCCCACCGCCCTTGCCTCCCCTGCCCTTGCCGCTGCGGCGTCCGCTGGGAGCGGACGCAGAGCCGACCTGCTCAGCACCAAGGAGGTCGACAGCAGCAGCAGAGGCGACAGAGGGGAGTAGGGGGGAGGGGGAACACCCCTCGAAGAAAGGGGTGCGGGGGTCGCCACGAGAGGCACCTACAGCTACAATACTCTTCTCAGTTGCAAGTAGTTCCTTCTCTAGGGCGGTAATGGTGAGCTCAGTGGGGCAGCGAGCTAGGAAGTGGTCCCTGACTGTACGCAGAGTGTCAGGGAGGCGGGTGACTAGGTGGTAGAGAGTGAGCCAGAGCGGGGGAGGGTTGGAGGCAAGAAACTCAGCGGGCATGGCTGCACGGAAGCGGGCATCACTAGTGCGGAGGTGAGTGATGAGGTCAGCGACTGTCTGGAAGGCGGACAGGTCGGGGAAAAGGTAGGGAAGCGAGAGGCGGCCTAGTGCAGCTGAGGCCGGGGAGGAGTAGCGCGCAACTACAGCAGTGTACAGGGCGTGCGCAGTCTGATGCTGGCCAAAGTGCTCGCGCTCGTCGACTGGCAGGGAGTTGCGAATGGCAAAGCGGGCGTGGGCATCGCGAGTCTGCCACTGTGAGCGAGCAGTAGCAGCAGCAGTAGTAGCAGGAGTAGGGACTGTGCCTAGTGCGTGATCGTACAGCGAGATATCCTCTCTGGCAGTGAGCTGGAGGAATAGATGCAGATCATCGAGCCAGGTCTCAAACTTAATCGGGCGGCCCTCAGTATCGAACGAGAGAACTGGAGGGCTAGCCATAGCTGAAGTAGCAGTAGCAAAAGTAGCAGTAGCAGTAGCAGCAGCAGCAGCAGTAGCAGCAGCAGTAGCAGTAGCAGTAGCAGTGGCAGTAGTAGTAGCAGTTCAGTACTGGTGCTGCTGCTCAGGTAAGGAGGGCGCGGCTCGGCTAGGACGGCGCGGCTCGGCTAGGGCGGCGTGGCTCGGCTAGGGCGGCGCGGCTCGGCTAGGGCGGCGCGGTTCGGGTCGGGTCGCGCAGCGCGGCTCGGCCGTAGAGGGGCGAGCGTGGGAGGGGCCGTGAGAGGCAAGCGCGGGGGGGGGCCGTTCGGGGGCCGGTCGGTGCTAGCGCGAGGCCATTCGGGGCCGTAGGAGGCTAGCGCGGGGCCTTAAGGGGCCGTGGGAGGCTAGCGCGGGGCCTGAAGGGGCCGTGGGAGGCTAGCGCGGGGCCTGACGGGGCCGTGGGAGGCTAGCGCGGGGCCTGAAGGGGCCGTGGGAGGCTAGCGCGGGGCCTTACGGGGCCGTGGAGGTTAGGGCAGGGGGCACACGGGGCCGTTCGAGGCTAGCGCGGGGCCACGCGGGGCCGTTCGAGGCTAGCGCGGGGCCAATCGGGGCCGTAGGAGGCTAGCGCGGGGCCGTAGGTGGGCCGTTCGGGGCTAGCGCGGGGCCGTAGGGGGCCGTGAGAGGCTAGCGCGGGGCCGACGCGGGACCTTAAGGGGCTAGCGCGGGGTCTTAAGACGGGGCCGTGAGAGGCCGTAAGGGGCGACGCGAGGGGCCGTGAGGGGCCTGAAGGGGCGACGCTAGGAATGAGGCGCACGAGGGCGCTAGGAAAAAGGCGGCGCACGAGGGCGCGGCTAGCGGAAACGGTGGGCCCTAACGTTCCGGTCCTAGGTGGAACCTAGGCTCGTAATACCATGTTAGAATGAGAAACAGGAATGATTATGACTAGCAGGAACAACAGTACAAATATGAAACCCTAATCTGGTGTACCCCCTAAGGTGTAAGCCACTACAGCCTAGAACCACATAAACATATAATGTTTGACAAGTTGCACACTACCTATCTTGTTCGTAGGTGACGCGGGCGTAATGGATATCCTGGAGACACGTCTGGGTGATGCGAGGAGACGCCATGCTAATGGCGAGTATGGGATGTTGGAGTAGGCTAGAGCTCGCTCTGGTCTTTATTTTGGTGTTCTTATATTATTTCTCCATGCTTAGAGATAGTTACGCATTCAGGTTGATTTTAGGTTCAGTTTATAGTTCTTAGTACAAACCGAACGCACCCTATATTCAATTAGGGTTTCCAACCCTCTCTCTTTTGTATCTTGACATTTTTCTTCCTAGTGCAACTTTTTCGACCCTACCTATCTCTCTCGCCATCCATGGCTCCTCTCATGTTAACATGGTATCAGAGCGTGGTTCTAGGCATTTCATATTTATCCGTATTTCTTAGATAATCTCCGGCCCTTAGGCCATTTTTGCGCTACTTAGTTAGACGATTTTTTATTATCTCCTTTCTTTCCCGTCACTCTTAAAAATCACATTTTTTGTCACGTTATACTCTCGTGGATCCCTCAATCCAGTCCATAGCGCATCGCCATACCGCCCTTATCACCCTCCTGCGCCTTCCCATTCGTCGCGCCTCCTTCTCCTCCCATTTCTGGCGGTCGGGCGCCCATTTCCGCCCAAAGCGCACTCTGCTGTCCCTCCCCTTCCCCCTTCCCGTCGCGCGCGCATTGCGCTCCCGCCGCCGCGCGCGCTGAGCACAGTCCAGCAGCGCGCGCGCTGAGCACCGTCCAGCAGCGCGCGCGCCTGCCTTTCCTTGCGGCGCGCCCTGCCCTTTGTCAATCCGCCCCTTCTCTCACCCTCCTCCTTCCCTCTCTCCTTTGTGCTTCCCCCCACTACCTCACCTCTTCCTCCTCCTATTTTCTCTCCCCATCTGCTGCGGCTCGCAGCTCCTTGTGGCGCGCCCTGCACTTCCTACAATCCGCCCGTTCACCCTCCTCCTTCTCTCCTGTCTCCCACTAGTTCCCTCTCCACTATCTCATCCCTCCTGCACCTCTTTTCTCTCTTCATCTGCTGCAGCTGGTAGCTGATTGTGTTGTGTAGCTGTTGTTCCTCCACACCTTCCCTCCCCCTCAACATCCTCCTCTCAACTGCTCAACTGCAAACTCTTCACAATTCTCCCTCCTCCTCTTGTTTCTCCCTTCAGCGGCACAGCAGCAGACTTCTCCGCAGCTATCCCTCATCCTTTGGTTTCTCCCCTCATCGGCGCAGCAGCAGACTACTCCGCCATTTTCCCTCGTCCTTTGGTTTCTCCCCTCATCAGTGCAGCAGCAGACTACTCCGCCATTTTCCCTCCTCCTCTGGTTTCTCCCCTCATTGGCTCAGCAGCAAACTACTTCGCCATTTTCCCTCCTCCTCTGGTTTCTCCCCGCATCGGCTCAGCAGCAGACTACTCCGCCACTTTCCCTCCTCCTCTTGTTTCTCCCTTCAGCGGCTCAACAGCAGACTACCCCGCCCTTATTCCTCCGCCTCTTATGCCTCTCCCCACATCTGCTCTGCAGCTGTTTCCTCCTCCTTATGGCGACCTCTCTTGCCCCCCCCCCCCCCCTCCCTCTGCTGGTCCTTCAGCTTGCGCCCAATGGCAGTGCAGTCAACTTCCCCGGTTGGCCGAACTGTCTTGCACGCACGCTGTCTAACAGCCTAGTGAGTGGCTTTAACCTCTGGTTTGCCACTCAGCAGAGTGGTTTTGGCGCCATTCATACCTCTCCCTCTGCACCCACCTCTTCCTCCTCTGACCCCTATGCTGATGGCCTCCGTGCTGCCATTGCTGAAACTGAGCGGCTTGTGGCCATGGCGCACAAGCCACCGCCAAGGCTGCTCCTGACAATGCTGCTGCCCGTGACTTAGCTCGTATTCTTGCTGAGTCCCTCGAGAGCACCCGCAAGTGCCTCACTGAGCACCTCGCTGCCCCTTCTCCTCGCTCTGCCTCTACACCCCTTTCCTCTGCTCCATCTCACTCTGACCTTCTCGCTGACTGGCATATTGCCAACGCACGTGCATGTCAGGTCATCCTTGCCTGCATCCCTCCAACTCTTCTCCCTCAGTGCTCACACATCCGCTATGCCAAGAACCTTCTCGACTATCTTACGACCTTCTCAGCGTCATTGCCCTCTTACCCGAGCTCACCTCTCTTCGTCTTGCTGACTTCACCACCATGGCAGACTACATCGCTCGTGTGCAAACGCTGTCCTCCCAACTTGCCGCTCAACAGTTTGAACTTTCCTATCATGTCTGCGATGCCCTCCTCCTCACAAACCTCACTCCTGATTACAGTGTTCATGTCACCTTGTATGGTGAGCGCCGTGCTGACCAGTGGTCGTTCTCTCGTGTCTCTGCCTTCCTCCTCCAGGCAGAGCTCAACCTCCGCAGCTGCCCTCCTACTGTCGCTGCTGTCACACCCTCTTCTACCCCTCCTCCTCTCCCCACTACCACTGCCACCACTGCTTCCTATCGCCCTCACAACACCTTTCCTCCTTGCACCTACATCATTTGCCAGGGGCCCCGTAGGGGTCAGCCATGCGGTCGCACCAATCATCCCACCTCCTCCTGCTTCTAAAGCTCACCGATGACTGGTTCCTAGCTGGCAACACTGGTCACCCTCCCAACTGGCTCCAACTCTCTCTTCAGAGTCGCCAGTCCTCTGCCCAGGCGGTCCTTGCGGCCGCCGACTCTAGTGTAGGTGCTCAAACCTCTGCTCTCAGTGTGACAATGCCTAGTCAAAATAGCATTTTGGGGGCTTCTCCCCTTATGGACCCTCGTTTTGCCATGATGTTCACTCCTTTCTCTTAATGACAATGATTCTCAGTATCTTGGTCCCACAGCTGCTGCTTTTTCCCTCCCTCGCACTCTTGAGCTTGTTCTTGAGAGTGGTGCTACTGACTCTGTCTTTCGTGATGTTGGTGTGCTTCACTCTTTTCCCCATCCCCTCTCCTTTCAAGGGGCTAGGGATACCATGACCATAACTTGCACCGCTGCCTCTTCTCTTCCCTGTCCTGCCTCCCCCGCTGGTGCTGTGACTGGCCTCTATGTTCCTTCCTGCCGCCACAACCTTCTTTCTCTCTCTGCTCTTCAACCTCTTTGTGTGCGAGCTATCTTTCCTGAATGTGACTCCTACTGTGATCTCTATCACCGCAACCGCCATCTTGCATGCTTCATTCTTTCTCCTATCACTCGCCTCTACACTCTTCGTGTCCCTCTTCCCCCTTCTGCCTATCATGCCTCTTTCGCTTCCGCCCCTCCCGTTCCCTCATGCGACTGTCGCTCTCTTACGCAACCTACCCTTCTCCTTCATCATCGACTTGGCCACCCCAAATTTCCCCTTCTTCGCAGTATGGTCTCTTCTAAGCTTCTTCATGGCCTCCTTCCCTCACTCCCCCCCCTTCCTCCCTCTACTGCTCCTCCGTGCACCTTATGTGTCCAGGCCAAACTCTCCCAGTCACCTCATCCCTCTTCTCCCTCTGCCTCTCCCCAACCCCTTGACCTTGTTCATATGGACCTCTGGGGTCCCTCTCCTACTGCTTCTTGTCAGGGTCATTACTATTTTCTGCTTTTGGTGGATGACCACTCACGCTTTGCAACTGTCTATCCCCTCCGTGCCAAATCTAACGCTCCATCCCTCATCATTCGTTGGGCTAAGCAGGCTCGTCTACGTTCTAAGCGTCCTGTCGCGCGCTTCCATTCCGATGGTGGTGGCAAATTCTTTAATCACTTTCTCTCCTCTTACTGTGCCTCTCATGGCATTCGCCAGACCTCCACTCTTCCTCACTCCCCAGAGCAGAATGGGGTTGCTGAGCATCGCAATCGCACTCTCATGGAAATTACTCGCTACCTTCCCACCCATGCCTCTGCTCCCCACTTTCTTTAGAGCTACGCTCTTCTCGATGCCACTTTACTCTCTAACCTCCGCCCTCATCCTCTTTGCCCCACTATCACCCCCTTCTAGCTTTGGACTGGCCGCCAGCCCTCTGTCCGCCCTCTTCGGGTATGGGTTTGTCGGCCATGTTCTTGTAATTCTAGCAGACCGATCTCGTCAGGGTGGGAAGCTCGCTCCCAAGACGCAACTCTGTGCATTCCTTGGCATCAACTCTGATTGTCCTAGTTATCTTTTCTACGCCCTCTCCTCTCACCAACTTATCCGCAGCCAAGGCATCATTTTCGATGAGACCCACTCTCCATTCCATTCTCCCCCACCCGCCCCTCCTGTCCCTTCTCTTCACTGGTCTGATTTCTATCAGCCGTCGTCTGTCCTCCCCTCCCCTCCTCTCCTCCCTCCCATCCCGCCTCTTCCGGCCCCTCCCCCCGCACCAGCCTCTACTGCCCCCCCTTCCGACATCATCTCTGGCGCCTCCCCACCCGCCTCTCCTTCTTCGGCTCCCCTCCCTTCCTCACCTCCATCGTCCTCTCAACCCCGTTCGCCCGTTCCCATCCTTCTCCCTTCCCCGCGCCTTACTCGCTCCATGACTCGCGCCCTTTCTATTTTCCAGCACACTGCTATTTTCACTCGTCTATCTCCATCCCTGGATGTGAATCTTCTTGAAAATCGCTTTGAGGAGCTCTTCACCATTCATCCTATTTCTCCTCTCCTATGTGTCACTGTGAGTGACTTTAGAAATTCTCCCACTCTTCTCTCTGTTGACACCGCTGCCATTCCCACCCCTCAGTCCTACTCTGAGGCCGTGTTGGGCTTTCATGCCACTGAGTGGATGGCTGCCATCATTGCTGAGTGTGAGGCATTTACCAGAACTAATTCCTACATTGACTCTGTCCCCCCCCTTGGCGCCACCATTGTCAAGGGCAAATGGGTCTTCCGTGTCAAGCAGCTGCCCTGCGAACTTCCTGTCTTCAAAGCCCGCTACTGTGCCGAGGGCTTCACTCAGCGTGAAGGCATTAACTACTTTGCCACTTACTCCCCCACAACCTGTCTCCCCACTCTCCGCCTCCTTCTTGACTTAGGTGCTCGCTGGAATTGGGAGATCCATTCCATGGACGTTTCCAATGCTTTCCTTCAGGGCAAGCTGCATGAGCGCATATTCTTTGAGCGTCCTGCTAGCTTTCCTCGCCCTTTCCATCCAGGCACTGTTTGGGAATTAAAGCGACCCATGTATGGCCTTAAACAGCCCCCGCGCGAGGGGCACGCCAAGCTCCCCTCCACCCTTCACTCTCTTGGCTTCCCTACCTCCACCTCCGACCCCCGTCTTTTCATTCGCACTTCCCCCCACAAGCTCTACATTCTCGCCTACGTGGACGATTTGGTGCTGCTTGCTGAGGACTCCACCGATCTTGCTGTTGTCAAGAAAGCCCTGCAGGTGCGTCTAATGTGCAAGGATCTTGGCGAACTTCGTCACTACCTCGGCATGGAGATCCGTCGTGATCGTGCTGCCCGCACCTTCTCTCTCTCCCAGTCTTTCTACATCCAGTCCATCCTCCAGCGATTCGAGATGTCGCAGGCCAACCCGGTCTCCACCCTCAGCTCACTGCCCCTGCCGTCCCTGCTCCCTCCTCTGAGCTGCGACCTTATCCTGAGCTCGTTGGGTCTCTTATTTATGCTATGATGTGCACTCGCCCCGACCTTGTTTACCCCCTCAGTGTTCTCTCTCGCTTTGTCGGTCTAGGCTGCCACACTGACGTGCACTGGGCGGCTGCTAAGCGCGTCCTGCGCCATCTGCACGCCACCTTTGACCTTGCTCTCACTCTTGGTGGCTCTGTTCCTCCCGTTCTCTCTGGCTACAGTGACTCTTCCTACGTTGACTCTCGCCTTGATCGCCGTTCGTTTCAGGGTTATGGTTTTACTCTTGGTAGTGGTCACATCAGCTGGCGATCCACTGGCTCATCCTTTGTCTGCCTTTCCATATGCGAGGCTGAGTTGTACGGAGGCACTTTGGCAGCTCAGGAGCCTCGCTGACTCTCCTTTCTCCTTGCTGAGCTTGGTCACTCTCAGTCCTCCGTGACGCTCTCCTGTGACAGTGCGAGCATGATTCATTTCAATAAAAAACCTTTCTATCACGCTCGAAGCAAGCATATCGAGGTCCACTATTTCTTTGTGCGCGAGCTGGTGCAGTCTTGCTTCTTACGACTTCGCAAGGTGGACGCTTCTGCCAACCTTGCTGACATTTTCATCAAGGCCCTCCTGCGTGCGCCACACAGTTTCTACGTGCGGAACTTGGGCTCACGCATCTCTCCACTTCTGAGGGTGTGCCGGTTCGCTAGGTGTTTTGCTCCAGAGCTTCACCGAGCCTAGGGGTGTGTTGGAGTAGGCTAGAGCTCGCTTTGGTCTTTATCTGGTCATCTTATATTATTTCTCCATGCTTAGAGAGAGTTACGCATTCAGGTTCATTTTATGTTCATTTCGTAGTTCTTAGTACAAACCAAACACACCCTAGGTTCAATTACGGTTTCCAACCCTCTCTCTTTTGTATCCTGACATTTTTCTTCCTAGTGCAACTTTTTCGACCCTACCTAACTCTCTCGCCATCCATGGCTCCTCTCATCCTAGCATGGGAAGACTCTCCCCTTGGAGGTTGTCGAGTTAGGCATCCGTGCAAAGTGGGCGACGGAACATCCTTCTTGATCTGCCTCTCCTCGAACGGTGAACAACGAGGACGGCGTCCACGTTGGCATCACTGCTGCTTACCAAGTCGGCAGCAGTGCAGGAGGCACGTCGAGGCAGAAAGGAGTGTTCCGCACGGCCGACGGTGAAGTCGGCGGCGTTTAGGCGTGAGGGCTGCAGTCCTCAGCGGCTGCGGGCTCCTTGCAAGGCGATGTCGGTGGACGTTGAAGCAGTGTGATGCAGGCGTCGGCGACCCACTTCGCTGCAGAGGAGATCACACCGACCTACGGATACTTCAAGTTCTGGCAGGACAAGGTCTTCGTCACAACGCCGCTGGTCGGTTGGCACGACCCCCTCACGTGAAAGGAGGCCATCGAGCCCCAGCTCGAGATGGACGGGATGATGTGCTTCGCCAACGGTACAGTAGTGACGCCGCCAGAGAGCATTCCCCAGCTGTTCCGCATCGTGCACCTGCTGACCTTCGCCGTCATCTCGCGGTGCTGCTGACCCGTGGTGTAGATCTCCTTAAAGACGTGCCGGAGTTACCTGGACGCCGGCCACCTAGCGTGGCAGTTCATCAGATCGACGTACCAGGTCAGCTAGAGGAGTAGATGACGCACCTGCGGATGGGCGAGAAGGAGATGGCGATCGATTACTGCAATCAAGCTCAGCGCCTTCTTGCCTACATGTGGATGGACGACGTCGATTACTCGATAGCGTCGTACATTACACACGTCATAAAGGGGCTCCCGAGCAGCTACACCTAATGAAGCGGCTGTAGGTGGTGCTGGGGATGTGGGAGTCGCTCAACGAGGACTCGCTGACCCCATACATCCTGAGGGACGAGGCGATGCAGGAGGCCAAGGGGTCCACGGAGCTCCTGCCACAGGCGAGCTACGTCACCCCGACGAAGCAAGGAAGTCGACCGGGGCGGCGCGGCAAGCCTGGCGGAGGTGGTGGCGTAAGTGAGAGGCCGGCTAAGGACGCCGACAAGGGGATGTCGGCCAAGG